CCTTAAGACATGGTTATTCCAGCTTGCAGGACTGGCCTAGGGGAAAATTTTTAATGGGGGTTTTAAAGTAATTTTAAATTAACTAGACCAATTATTAATATTTGTTTTTAATTATGTTTTAATCTGTAGTTTTGGGATTTGCATTTTTATCTGGTTGTTAGCCGCCCTGAGTCCGCAAGGAGAAGGGCGGGATATAAATTTAAACAATAAATAAATAAATAAACTCCGAAGGGAGGGAGGGCTTAAGCGTTATGAAAGACGATCCAAACTTTTTTTCTCACCCCCTTCAACCATCCCACAAAATGGGCCAATAGTTAGCAACTTTGGGGAAACAGCAGCTTCTGCACTTCGCTCTGCTTAAAAAGTTGCTGTAGGAAGCTTTTCCTTCAGGCATAGAATATTCTAGTGAGGCATGTCTTCCTACAAAAGTTGGGGGTAAGAATATCTTGGGGGGGAGGACCGGAAGAGGCTAACAGGAAGGATTCTAAGGGTTACAGCATGAAAAGCCGTACTGTAAATAGAGAAGCCCACCGGGTACCTATAAGATGTCCCAAATTCCAGACAAATTTTATCACTGGTGTGAATCAAGGCTTTAAATTAGCGTTAAGATAGAATTATATATAACTGTATATATAATTGTATTGTGTAGAAGAGTATGTTTATATAGAGATCAAGAACTATGTATTAATTACATGTATCAAGAGGGACAAATTGTTAGGAATATTTATTTTGGAATGTCACGTTATGTCCATCTTTGTTTTTAACTGTACTATAAATAAAAAACTTTTTATATATATATATAAAAAAGGATGTCCCAAATTCCACCAGTCTGCTGGCCTAGAAAACTGCCTCTTCCCGACATAAAATGTGTCCACATTCAAATATGAATCTTGTGATCCCCAATTTCTTTCTCCCTCTACACCAGTGTTTCTCAACCTTGCCAATTTTAAGGCATGTGGACTTCAACTCCCAGAATTCCACAGCCAGCAATGCTGGCTGTGGAATTCTGGGAGTTGAAGTCCACATGCCTTAAAATTGGCAAGGTTGAGAAACGCTGCTCTACACAAATCTTTCAAGCCACCTTTCCTAGCATGCATCCCACGCAGCGCTCCAGACAGTTTATCTCTCCCCTCCCACCTCCCCCACTTACTTTGATCCTTCTCTATCTTCTCAAGGCTTTCCAGCAGAGAATCCACTTTCAGCTTAATCTGGGTCAATTCCTTCTTAATGGCTTGCAAGTCATCGCCTTTTACTGCAAATACAGAAGGAAAACTCAATCACTGGAAGTTTCAGCGCCCTGGGGCATTATTAACAAGCATAAAATACTCAAGGAAACGGTACAAAAGGCAGATTTAAAAAAAAATATTCCCACCTTCTTTTTTCCCTAAAAGCCATCCTCCCTCGTGTCAAAGAGGCATTGCAGAATGTTTTCAGCACAGTAGCACCCGGATTGAAACGGGGAGGAGGGCAGGTTTTTGAATAACCCAATTTAAAGAATACGCAAAATCTTTCCCCACCCCCCGCCGCCCACATTTGCTACAGACCCTGCTCGACGTCCGACACCTACATTTCCCAGATTTGGAGGACGATCCCCGCTGCCCGCTCTTCGAATTGAATCCGCTCTTTCCTCTACGAGAGGTATTGCCAGAAACCCGTTGGCGTTTGGAAGGGACCACCGCCCTGGCAATGGGGGGCGGAGGGGGCACGCGTGCTTGGTAGCTGTACATCCTAGGAGAATCCGAGAAAGGGGGAGGGAAAAAAAAACAACCTTAGCTTCAAAACAGCTTTACAAATCCACCAACCTGCATCGCGTGCAAAATCTCTTCTCGGGTTTCTCAAAATACCTTCTTTTAATTGGATAAGCTAATTGAGGGCATTATGTGCTCCTTTCAAAACAGCACTGGCGCTCTTTCTGTCGCACCCACGCCACAGAAGTATATCCATCGCCCTAAAGGCGGCGGTCCAGAACTATTTTAGAAACAAAATAAGAGCTGGAAGGGACCTTGGAGGTCTTCTAGTCCAACCCCCTGCTCAAGCAAGAGACCCTATACCCGGGGTAGGCAACCTTGGCTCTTTTATGACTCATGGACAGCTATGCTGGCTCAGGAATTCTGGGAGTTGAAGTCCACGAGTCATAAAAGAGCCAAGGTTGCCTATCCCTGCCCTATATCATATTTCAGACAGGTGGCTGTCCAGTCTCTTCTTAAAAACCTCCAGTGATGGAGCTCTTGCACCTTAAACTCTGCTCTTACACCTCTTCCCTCTCTCCCAAAACATTTAATCAGAATCTTCTCTTTAAATCTTGTTCGTATAGTAAACGGCTACCCGTTGTCTTCCTAACTTTGGAAGACGAGGGATTTCAGAGATTTTTTTTTTTTTTTCAATATAAAATTTTTATTGTTTTTATCATAAAAGAAAAAAGAAATACATCACAGGTATTACACAATGATTTATCCCATCCCCCCACCCCCCGGACTTCCCAAACCAAACCTAGGCTAACATTCAAATACAAGTAAACAAATATTAATATCTCTAACTCCAAACTCTAAACTTAAACAATCCATCTCC